GCCTCTCGGAAACGGAAAAAACATGTTTTCTGTTTTTTTTTCTTTTGCGAGAGTCACCGTTTTGCTTCGGCGAGAGGCACGGTTGTGCTTTCGCGAGAGTCAGGGTTGTGCCTCTCGGAAACGGAAAAAACATGTTTTCTGTTTTTTTTTCTTTTGCGAGAGTGACGGTTTTGCTTCCGCGAGAGGCACGGTTGTGCTTTCGCGAGAGTCACGGCCGTGCCTCCTCAGAAACGAAAAAACGCGTTTTATTTTTTTTCCTTTCACGAGAGTCACGATTTTGCTTCCTTGAGAGGAACGGTTGTGATTTCGTGAGAGGCACGAGGTGCCTCTTTTGGAACGGGAAAAAACCATGCTCCCGATTCAGTTTTTACGTCTGGTTTTTTCATTAAAAAAGTTCGTCAAAACCTATCAACATGGGATCTAATTTTGAAGATCTCGACTCGAGGAATCCAACGGTGAAAGCAGTTCGAGATTTGGACGCACGGTTTAAGAGATAAAACGTTTTGAATAAACGGATATACGAAAAAAGAGAAAATTCTCAGGTTGCGACAAGTGACGCACATGTAGCGCGCCACTTGTCACAAACTGGGAAAATTGAAGTGATCTTCACAACGAATACTCCTCGACTAATGATTTCCGCAAGAGAACAATCTCGAGCCAACGATGGGGAGTAATGCTAGATTCACGGGGCATTCACGAAGGGTTTACGGGCTGATCAAGAATTAATGGCCAGGATTTAATTAAGGGTATGCGGGCAAATTAGGAGAGGGCACGTCAGCCACTCTGTAAAAGTCCGTTGGAGACAGCCCGTGAATCTAGCATTATTGAACGATGGGTGACCGATGGATTCACCACCTGCCTTCACATCCGTGTGGACTACTTCGCCTGCCTACTGGGTTTTTCCTTTTTATGGGTATTGGCCGGCCTAACATACCTCGTTTCTAGTTTTCTAAAGGCTAACATTCCCAAAACAGTTTTCTTTTTTCTCTTGTCTTCAATTTTAGTTTTTTGCGCCCTTCTCATTTAAAGTTTTTCCTTTTTATTTAAATTTTCATTTTCTTTACCTTTTTCTTTTTATCTTTTTCGATAATTTTTCCTTTTTCTTGTTTACTTTGTGAAAAATTACAAATACTTGAACGTTTTTCAAATAATGAAATATTTTGGAAACCATAAACATTTTCCAAAAAACATGAACATTTTTAAAATTTGCCAGGCTTTCTCTACAAGCCCGGGATTTTTTTAACATGAACATTCTTTAAACCCATGAATGTTTCTTTTTCATTGGTGAACAGTTTTTCCAACAATAAATATTCACGTCTTCAAAAATCTATGAACTTGTTTAGGAAATTTCGGAAAGATTATTAGAAATTCACGAACATTTTTTTATTTTTTAGGAAATTCTTCAAAAAATCGTGAATATTTTATTAATACACGAAAACATTTAATGACGTGAATATTTATTATTTTCTAGAAACAATTAGGAAATCTTGAATTGTTTTTGAATAAGCCATCATTTGTTACAAATTCGCAAACATTTATTGAATTTGTGAACATTTGTTTTAAACTAGTAAACATTATTTTGAAGTGAAATTAAAAAAAAAATTGGTGAACGTTTGTTTACAAATCAAAAACATTTTTTGAATCCATAAACATTTTATGATTTGTAGAATATTTATTTCCAAGTTCATATTTTTGGAATTTTGTATCCTTTTTGCAATCCCAAATTATTTTGAGGAAGAATAAACGTAAAAATGAAAAAAAAGGGAAGTCTAGCACCGATAATGAGCCAGGCCAAAGTGGCGCGACGGGAGAAGAGAGGATGCGCGCTGGCTCGTTCACCAGCGCGCACCGTGCTATATAGGAGCTCCCACGCCGGGGGGCGCAGCTATATCCCGCACACACTGATTCCTATCACAGACAGTATCGCCTGCTTCTGTTGGGCTGGCCCAGTGACCGTGCTTGCAGAAGAGATCACACTGCGCCATTATTTTTTTTCTTTTTTCTTCAGATTTTAGTTTACTTTTCTAATATTAATTTTTTGTTTTTTTGTTTCATACTATTCCAAATATAAATACCTTTACATTAAATTTTAGAAACAAATATTAATCATGCATTTCATGTATAGAAAAATGGTAATCCTGGGTTTAGTAAATATTTGTGACATTTACAAATGTTACTTTTCAAAAACAAATGTGTGTATCCTTTTAGAAAATGTTTATAGGATGTATAAAAACATAC